GATCGAATGAAACAAAGAGCAAAAGAACTTGATGTACAAAGACGTGCACAACAACGTGCTGGTGGATCAAAATCCTATGGAAGTTCAACTGGCATATCATCAAATACGTATAGCAGTTCATCAACAGATAATAAACCAGACATAACACCAACACCAGTTACTTATCCAACTAGTAATACAACGTATGCATTGATTTTTGTTTTTCCACGCATGAAAAATACTCGATAATGAAACTACTTGTTTATTTTTTTTTTAGTTCGACTATTCGTCCAAGTACAACAGGCAAAGCAATGAAATTAGGCACAAAAGGAAAAAATGTTGAAACATTTGTTGATCAACTTAAATCAGAAGGTGAAATCGTCGTAAATACTGTTCCAGTAACATCAGGTGCTGGCGGAGCAGTTGCTAAACATAAAACACAAAGTGTATCTTTACCAGACACTGAAAAAGGAGAGTAAGTGTCATAAGAAAAAAGTTCGCTCATTCAAAAAGTCTTTTTTTTATTTTTCTTTAGAGTTCATTTAAAACAAGAAGAAAAATTAACTGTACGCTGTAGTCGTGATGGTGGCTTAGAAAGTTTAGAGGTTCATGGTATGATTATGTTACGCGTTAAATCTGAACAATATGGACGTATTCTTGTTGCTATTGACAATAAGGAATTAAGAAATATTCAATTACAAGTAAAAATTTAGTTTCTGTTTAAGTTCAGTCTTATTGAAACCTACCTTAGAAATATGACTCAGGAATATTTTTTTTTATTGTTCAATAATAACATTGGGCAAGAAAGGGTATCGGTGTGGATGTTGCTTCCCTCTTAATTCACACACCACACCAAGTCTTTGAATTGGATCAATTTTGATGACCGGAGCCAACGTACCATGGCACTATTAAAAGTATATTTCTTTTACGAAAATGATCGCTAAACAATGAGTCGGAAAATTTCAAAACTTAAAAAAAATAGCATGAAAAATAGTTCGAATTACTTATTGAAACGAAAGACCAACATGCGTATGTTGGTACTCCAACTTCTTAAAGACTGTCATTTATCAACATAAACTTTCACGAGTAAAATGCCCACTAATCCATTTCAAATATTCAGATCGGTTACTACTTTTTGTGTTACACTGTTCTACATCAGTAACGTTCATAAGATTCTCAACCGCTACCAATTGCGAAGTACAAAGTCCATATAAGAAATTTTGACGAAAAATCTTTCCAGAAAGAGCATGGGATCCATTGCAATCCCTGCTTCTTACACTTATCCGTTTGAACTGTCATCTATAAAACACTAGTAGCGATTTCCTTTTATGGTGTTCGTCCACTTTCTAAAAAACAATGAATACTGATGATGTGCTTAATTAATTGAGCTTTACGTTGTTAATGAAACGGAATGATACATTTTCTTTCTTCGAAATCAAAATCAATTTTTCTTTATGGATGTTTTTTTTAGACACATCCAAATATTGATAAGAAATTATTTACTAATGAATCATTAATTGGTTTAAAAAATGCAGATAGACCATTTCCAGTTAATCAAGAAGTTGGCGTACTTAAATGGCGTTATACATCAACTGATCCAAAAGAAATTCCACTTACAAGTAAAAAAAGTTTTCAAATAACTTTTTCTTTTTTAAACTTTATTTATAGTTAATTGTTGGCCTAATGAAACACCAAATGGTGGTTGTGAAGTTAATATTGAATATGAATTACAAAATAAAAATCTCGTTTTAAAAGATGTTCAAATATGTGTACCATTACCGTAAGAGTAATTCTTAAAACAAAAAATTTTTTTTTTGAATTTGATTTTCTTAAAGGAGTGGTGGACAAACACCAGTTATTGGAAAAATTGATGGTGATTATCAATTTGATAATCGAAAAATAACATTAATCTGGACATTACCTGTTATTGATCAATCAAATTCTGAAGGAACATTGGAATTTTCAATTCGAGGAAAATCAGCTGATTTTTTTCCAATTCAAATTGATTTTGTTGCTGAAACATCATATTGTGATATCAAAGTAAAGTCAAAAAAAAAACAAAGAAAAGAATTTGATTATTTGTATCCATGAAATTTTTATTCTAGATTGCTGATGTTAAATCTGTCGACAATCGTAAATCAGCTGCATATTCAAGTGAATCACAGCTGATTGTCGATAAATATGAATATGTTTAATCAAAGAAAATAAACGTTTTTTATCATCATATATATTAAGGAACATTAAAATAATTTTAACTTAATCTTTGCTGGTTTATTGTTATTTGAATAAAAGAGCGAACAAGCGATCTATGTTATCTTATAGTTGTCATTTAAATTCTTTTTGTTCGTTTTAGTGAAAATAAAATAAAAATTATCTGAATAATTTTACTGCAATATATGTCGGGAGAAAGGAACGAGAGAAAAAAAAACAGAACTGGAGAAGTTGGGCATCGATCCCAATACCTCTCGCATGCTAAGCGAGCGCTCTACCATATGAGCTACATCCCCATGTTGACTACGTATTTGAAATTGCATGTATATTTTCTTGTGATGCTGAATTATAATCATTATGATCGATTGATTCAGTTTCATCTATGTCACGAATGCCATCATCCTAAAAGCAATTTATTGGTGAATTCTTGTATGCAGAGTGGGTCATAAATATTTATAAGATAAAAATTTGAAAGCCTTCGCTCTGCTCGAAGATATTGAACTAATCTTTTCATCAATAAGAGAGACATTTTCAAAGTTATTTTTTTAAAGAAAATTGTTAACGAACACAAATTTCTGTTGTTCGGCGTATGCCTCCTAGTCTCTGATAGCCACACCATGAAAGATTACAATGGTGCATTTATACTAATGAACATCATCTTGAACATTTGCATCATTCGGACTTTTTGAATAAAGATTAATTTAACTTTTCTCGTTGCTATTCGGCATGCAAATGATAAGAACATGCGTAAGCTATGCTGTATTTCTTTTTTTCCTGAATTTGTAAAAGATTACATTCAATATTGAAGTGAATGTCAACGACTGAAAGCAGCGTTCATTAACGATTTCCTTATTAAAAAAAAAAAGTTGAATCCAATTAAATTTTTTATCGTAAAGATGTTTAAGTCCCACTCTAGATAAGCACAAAGATCATTTTTAAGGAAACAATTACTTTAAATATATACTTACAGTTATTTGAAAAAATGTTGATAATTCCGGTAAATGAGGTGATTTAAGAACACGAGCTTCTCGTTTATTCATTTTCCATGAAAGTTGTATTCGTAATTGAGACATGTGACCAAATGCATCACCAAGAGCTATTAAATATAAAACTAAAGTCATAGACGATGGGCCATAAATAGTCCTATGATAAAAACATGAAATATTTCCGCTTTGGTTCACTTACATGAGCTAATTTTTTAATTAGTCGTAGAAGCTTATATACGAATAAAGTGGGTCAATACTACTACTAAGTATGATTTTCCGTATCATGCAAGCAATTTTACCTGTTATCAATTAAGAATAATAGATATGAAGTATTTCATGGATAATTTTCAGTTTTCATCTAAGAGAATAATAAAAGAAATACAAAATCAACTCTATCAATGATATATTATATTAATGCACATAGAACATATTTTCAATAGTTAATTTAAAAGGGTCTACAATTCTCGGGCCCGAATATCAGGACTTTTCCATGTCCGAATCAACCCGACAGGTTCTATTTGGTGACAAAGGTTTATAATTGTGCGTTTTTAACTAGTTTTGAAAGCTTGCTCTCTGTACATCAAGATAAAGCTCGTTTTGACTTCGTCTTATTCCCTTAGATGACAACAGAAAATTATTTATAAAGCACTTCATTTCTTTAGTGCAGTCAAAAAATATTATTTAATAAGAGTATTTTTTTTATGGAATCTCTATATCAGTTTATACCTCTAACCAAGAATCAGGTCATACAAGCGAACCAAGGCGAAGATATTTCAATTTTTTATCGTAATGTTATTTATGGCCTGTCGTGTATACAAATTTTATTCCCTTTGAACTTAAACTACCTGGAGCGCAATATGCTTCATTTTTCAGTGATTCTACTTTTGCTATCATATGATTAACAATAACAACCTAATAAAACGTAATTATAGTTATTTCAATTAGTAATCGAAACTTACTGCACAATTGTTTTCTGAAGCTAATTTTTGTAACATTGTAACAATTCTAACTATATATTTATGGCGAGTTAAATGATCACCATCAATAATACTTCGAATAGGATGTGCAAGACTATCAAGAATGATTAGTTTAACATTACGTTCTGGTGTTATGATTTGTTTTAATTGAATAAGACAAGCAATTAATTCTGCTACATTTATACAACGAAAATATGTGACATTTTTTAATAGTTGTTCAATTGAATTAGTATTCATAAAATTTTTATTTTCATTTTTATAATGATTTTCAGCAGCCATTGCCATAGTTTGTAATCGTATAGGTACAAAACTTCCTTCTGTATCAATATAAATCACTGTTCCAGTCTCATTTGATGTTACGCCATATTTCATTTGTACTGATATGCACAATTGAGTACTAGTAAAAATTTTTACAAAAATCAATTTAATAAAATAAATAATTCATTAAACAAACCATAAATTTGATTTACCACTTCCTGGATTTCCGCACAGTTCTGTTATAACACCTATACGAATACCACCATCTTTACAAACATAAAAGACCAAAATGATTTTATAGATAAAAAAAAATGGTTCTTTTTACCAAGCATGTCATCAATTTTTTTTGAATATGTTGAAATATATCCAATATTAGATTTGAGTACATCCATAGCAGTTCGACTTTTTCTTGCTAGAGTCATGTTAAAAATATAAAATGTGGGAAATTTTTTCAAACGATAATCTCTGCGAACGTAGCGCTCAAAATCTAATTGGATGCGTATGATTCATTGATAAATACGATTTTTTTAAACATGTTCCTTTTTATAATGTACTTGACATAGAAATAATACTAACGAGAAAGAAAACCATGAATCTCGTATCTCGTATTATTCCCGGTGCATTAAATAATGCAAATAAAGATGCTATTGATTGGAATTATAATGGGCTTCTTGCGTATGGATGTCAATCAACTGTTGTTGTACTTGATACACAATCATTCCGAGTATTTGATTCTTTTTTCGACAAAAAAAGGTTATGTATATTATTAATCATTTTATAGGTTCTTCAATGTATGGAAAAATATCATGATCCAATTATTAAAGTATTTAAAATAACATTTAATATAATTAATAAGTGTTTTTTTTAAATAGGTTAAATGGTGTCCAGATCAATTTTATCATAATATAGATGATCCTTATAGTTTAAAATTAGCTAGTGCAGATTCAACTGGAAATATTTTAATTTGGGATGTTTATAAATCTTCTGTACAAGCTGAATTTCGTGATGGAAATAAATTAATATCTGGTTTTTATAAATAATTTTATTTTTTTCTAATTAAAAAATTCATCTGTTAATTTTTTGTTTAGATATGATATGGTATTTATCTGATAATAATCCACAACTATTACTTGTAATTCATTCACCTAATATTGTTACATTATGGAATACACAAACAGGCACAAAAATTTGGCGTATTGTTTATGATCATGAACGACAACGAGATACAGAATCATTTTTACAAATTATTCAAGATCCATTTAATCATCAACGAGCAATTTGTAAAGAAAAAAGTTTTTTCAATTACAAAAAAAAATGAAATTTTCTTTTTTTGATTTTAGTACTTGGTCAAACAAGTTTAACATTTATTGAAGATTTTTCACCAATAAATTCTCCAAGTGGTCAAAATCGAAGATTTTATATATCAAATTCAAATAATAATACTACTAATACAAATAATAATAAACAACAAAGTCCAATAGCTAGTAATAATCATCGAACACCATCAATTAGTTCAATATCGTCAACAAGTAGTCAATTAACAACACGTCTTAAAACAATTATTGAAGGAAGTGAACATTCAAAGTAAAAATTTGTTTTTTTTTAATAATAAAACATTTTTTTTTCTGTCTTAAGGCAAGATGATCAATCATCATCAACTGTTGTTAGTTTAAATGATTGTATACAAATTTTATTTCATCCAATACATCGTCATTTAATATTAATTGTTTATTCACGTGAAATATTAATATTTGATTTACAAATTTTACAAACTGTTGGAAATATTTTATGTGAAAAAACTTCAGCAGCATTTTATAAAGTTTTTATTGTTAAATTTATTATTCAAATTTAAATTTTTTTTTTGTTTTCAATAGATTTATGGTTGCCATCTACGTGATACATTTATATGTTTTCATGAAAGTGGAACAATAAGTATACGAACTAGACATTTAGAAAATAGTACTATAACAGCACTTCAATCTTCTAAAAGTATACTTAAGATTTTTTTAATTTTATCGTTTTCATTTGTTGTTCTGTTTTTTTTAGCTTTATTAAATGAATTTGTTATTGACTTAACTTATGATCTTATTTATTATTCTGATCCATTTCGTTTAGTAAAAAATACACGTATTTGTTCATTTTCTGTATCACCGAAAGATGAAACATCTATATGTGTTATTCTTACCGATGGAAAAGTTTTATTTTGGAATATTGATCAGAAAAATTTTTCAATATTATCAAATAGTGAAACAAATAATGAAGGAAATATTGGTAATCGTATTCCATTAGGTGGAGTTATGTTTTCTGCTCCACCTGGTCCATATGTATTAAATATGTGTCCACCAATGACTGTTAAAAATTGGAAAGAATGGCAAGCATTATTAGCTATTGGTAATGAAAAGAAAAAAAATCAAAATTGAGATTTTTCCTATTTCGAAAATGATTTCTAGGTTGTACAAATGGAGATATTGTTTTCTTTGATCTTACTGATGGAATTATTCAACGACAATTAGCTGTTCATTCCTGTACTGTTCGGTATGTATTGTGATTTATATAAAATAATAGCAATTAAATTAACCGACGATGGGAAAGATTTAGCAGAAAACATTTGCTCATTCCAAATATGTGTTCAGAATTTTTTGTCTGGGTTAAGATTGGATAATTATCATCTGATTGTTTCTGAATGATAGTTGTACAGAATGCTATTTTGGTCAATTTTGTCTTTCGACTGAAACCTATCAAATTTAAAATGTCAAATAGTTTTTAATAGCTTAGTTTTATTTACTTTGCAAAGCGTGATATTTACTTTTATATGACAGGATTTTTAATTTTTTAATATTTTTAAAAGCAATTTTTGAAACAGCAAATGCTGATTTCCATCGAAAATATAGATAAAATTTTGCTGTTCGAAGACAAAAGCTATGTAAATTGAATGCTGTGCGAAAAGCACTATTTCGCTTTGTACAAACACAGTTTTGAAGTTTTTCATTCTTATTCTAGAAGAAAAATCGGAAAATAAATTCGCTAGTAGAGAAATATTTCTGTTTCTGGATCTAACAAGTTGTGTTTTGAGTGGTCGAAAAATGAGCGAATATTTTGTGTACAGGTTTTTGCGCTATAAACTATATCAAATTTCTACACAGTAGAGAGCTAAATATGTGTACAGGACGATAGACTTACGTTCGTATTTCTCCTTAAATGACATTCACGACTGATTTTAGCTGACTAAACATTCTGTGCAAGATGATTGTGAGAAGAATATCATTTGGTTGATTTGAAATTTGTTTTTTTTTTTGTATATACAATGTATTTACATTAAAATTTGCTTTTATAGTGGAGTACTTTGGTTATCTTCTCAAATAATTCTTTCTTGGGGATATCAAACACCTAGTGATGGTCGTTCAACAGTTCGTAATGAAATATTTATGATTCATTTTCAAACAGGTTATTTGATTATTATTGAAATATGTTATAATAAATAATGAATTTTGTTTCATATAGGACGACAAGAACCATTTCGATCTGAAATAACACATGAAGAATCACCAATTGAAAGTTTAAAAGTTTCTCAGTCAAAGTTTGTATATTTTAAATAAATATAATGAAATAAAAAAAACTAATTTTTTGTTTTATAAAAAGAAATTATTTAATTATTCTTTTTCGTGATCAACCATTTGAATTATGGGATCTTAAATCATTTACATTAATTCGACGATTACCAAAAAAATGTCCTAGAATTTTAGCATTGGTATTTTAAATTTCAAGAATAAAAATCTTTTATATTTTCATTATTTTAGGATTGGTCATCAAATATTTTAGTTATGAAAAAAACATCCGGAGAAACTAATACATTACCTTCTACCAAATCACATAGTAATACTGAATCTGAACATGATGTTAATCGACCTTCAAATGAATCTGAGTATGAAAAAAAAAGCCGTATTCTATTTTATAATTCAATGATTTTTTTTCAATAGAAATACTTCGAACGATCATGAAAAAAAATTATCACGTGAAAATTTTATATTTACTGATGAATATAATTTATTGTATCACTTTTACGTCGAAGGACGAACAATTAAAGAAGTTGCAACTGTTCCACCAGATGTATTTTAAATTCATTTTATTTCTTTTATTTTTTTATCTTGTTTTTAATTTAATTTTAGCATTCATCATCAGCTGCAACTGATTTAGGTAAATTCATTTCTTTTTGTAAAACGAACTTTGTCTTTTCGTTTGTTTTTTTTAGTATTAAAAGGTGATTATCTTCTTTCTGGTGATATTGATGGTATCATACAAATATATAATATAAAACTTAAACAGAGCAAGTAAGAAATTTTTTTTTCTCAATAACAAATAAAAAAGTCTTCTTTTTGAATTAATAAGAACATTTAATACAAGACGAAGTCCTATTCGTAAAGTTCGTTTTGCACCTGGTAAAGGCAATTTTCGTGCATTCATTCTATTTAATGATGGTGTTGATATATGGGATATACGAGATGTATGTCTTCTTTTCGTATATGTTTTTATATATAAAAATATTAATGATTTGTATGATAGAGAGATCGCATCAGTACATTAAAATATCCACGTGATACAATTCAAGTTACGGATGGTGATTGGGCAAGTTCGGATAAAATTATTTTAGCATGTTCTGATCATTGTTTAAGAATATATGAAATGAATTTAATTGATTCATCAAGTTCACTTGAATTTCAGAAAATTATACGTATGTTACAGATTAGCTGTTTATTAAAACATATGTTCTTGATTGCGTTCATTTTTACTTAATTGGAGGGAAACATGTCCGCAAAATAGAATTGGGGTGCGAGACAAAAGTGGTTGTACATGGGAAAATACCCATAGCTCGATTTAAGAATGAATATTAGAGTATGAGTCCTCTTTTCAGTTATATCCATACATGGAACCTAAAAATGTTAGATAATCTAATATGCTTCATTAATGATTTTTTTTTATCGCATAATATATCTTGTCTTAATTCTACTATACAACCATTTTTCCTTATAGGAGACCCATCCGCCTTCAGAAAATCCCTTTTTTTTTTTTCGAAAAAATATCGAAGTTGAGTTTTTATCATAGAAAGATGCAGCAAAGTTTCCTCTCTCAGAATGTATATAACTTTTTCGGGAAAAGGCTAAATTTTAACAGACTTTTAGAAGAAGTTTCGATCCTACTGTTATATTTTCGTGGTTTTTCTAGTTTAGAGAAGACTGTCTTCTTGTTTGCATCAACATTGAATAAACATTCTTATATAATTTTAGCACGACAGGTGATACTAGCTTATGTCATCTGCTGCGTGCTTTTAAAAATTCCATTTGAACATATTATAAATATGTCATTTTAATGTTCTTTTCGGGATTTGAATGAAAATATTCATGTCTAAAAATTATTTACCGTTTTTCTCAGAACATGATTTTCAGTCAGAAAAATTGAAATAATTTCCATTCGACTCAACATATAACCAATATTCTTTTTACTTTAAAGATCTAAATGAGAGTACACTTTTATTTGACCAGATTTTTTGAATATTTGATTTCTATGTTGAGAAATGGTTTTTTGCTTATTTTAACACCGAATGCATTAAAATGATTATAAATAAATCAATGAAAGCGAGTTTCAAAAATCTGTTCGAACAAAAACTGCGTACAAGTATAGGCTCCTATTTGAAATCATCCCGAGCTTTGCACTTGCTGTAGTAGAGAGACTATAAAAATTCTTCTCAAGGTCATAAATGGACTATAAATAATGCGGAAGTTCACTCTAGTTTAACTTATCAAGTTCAAATTTTCATCAGAAGCATTTCTCCGTAGAATTACTCATTCGTGTAAATTTTAACTCAAATGAACCATCCGAAGTGGATTACCTATTGTGAGGAACGAAGTGTCCTTAATTGAGCTAACAAAGTGTCTGCAACCTGGATGTAGCGTATTCAAGTTTTTTGATAAAATAAATTCGAATTCGAACTAAATCTTGTATAATCATGGTTAAAACGAAAACACATTGTTTTATATATGAAATTGTGTCTATTTCAAGAGTTATGAAAACGAATAACTTGAGTATTTTTTTTTCACTTCATCCACATCTATCTATAATTAGAAGTGAAATCCATAGAATTTTGAATAAAACACGATTCTTATATTTAGAATCAACACTTTATCCATATTTAATAACAGCACGTCATGCTAATTTATTAAAACATTTATTATGTATCATAAATGGATCCCTGGATGAGTTAATAAAAAAATGTGAAGATACAAATTTAAGTGGAATACTCGAAAAAGAACTATCAACAGTTGATGCGTAAATTATTATTTTTTTTTTCTCAAAACTTTCAATCATTAGATTAACTATATTTTTTAGTGAATCGAAAAATTTTTTAACAAATACAAAATTAACAATTGATCGATGTTTATTTATTGCTAGATTATTTAATGATTCATGGGAACAATATTTTTGGCGTTTAACTGAATATTATCTATATGAATACGGTACAATAGATGAAAATTCTAATCGTCAACTATCACTCTTATCATCTTATGATTTACTACTTGATTCAAAAACATTTGAACAAATTCAATTAGAACGCACGATACGTCGTGATATTAAATCTCTCGCATCATCATCATCAATAAATCATTGTATTGATTCCTATATTGTACTTAAACAAATTGATCGTGCTGTACAACTTTTACTTGATACAGATCCAAATGATGATACATATGCATTAAATTGTATAAAAGCGTGTCTTATATCTTCAATGCAGAAACAATCAAATGAAACATCAAAAAATACCGTCACAAAATTAGTTGCAACTAATTTAATTGCTAACGGAAAAGTTGATGAAGGTGTACAATTATTATGTACAATTGATTTATGTGCTGAAGCATGTCGATATTTACAAGATCATAATCAATGGGAACGTTCAATATGGTTAGCTAAATTACGACTTAAATCAAATTCACAAGAATATACTGATGTTATTAAACGATGGTCTGAACATATTCGGAATTATTCTCAGACATCAAAAATGAATTCAGCTTTAATATTAATCTCATGTGGACAATTTCGTCGTGCTATTGAAGTTTTACATAATCAAGGTGCAACTGAATTAGCAATACGTTTATTTGTATGTTGTAAACAATTCGGTATTGATGATGGTACAATAGGAGAAAAACTCTTTGATGATTATATGGATTTAATGGGATCATTTGGTTTTACGTCGATTGCAAATGATTATCGAACAACAGTAGTTGTATAAACAATAATTGTTTTTTCTCTTTTTAATGTAAACAGTGATTTTATTTCCCCTTTTTTCCAAGGCATGTGCAATCGGTTGTGAAAATAAAACATACGTCAAAAAAAAGAGATTAGCGTTCTTAGACATCGACAAATGAAGTAAATAAGGCGAATACATGATAAATATGTTTGCAGCCTTGAATAAATGACAATAATTATAGAGAATAAACCATGATGAAAAAAAAAACAAAATGTTCAGTATTCATAAAGATATATAATTTTCATTGAGCTCGTCAGAAAATCGACATTTCAAGTAAAGCCTTTTTAATATTAATAATAAAAGTGGAACATTAAATATATACGTAATGTCAACATCATAGCAATGTATTCCGTTTTTTTTTGCTCTTTTTATTCAATTATCTGTCGCTCTTTTTCTCGGTGAATAATTGTGACGGGGCGGGCATTTCAAATCACTGACTTGTCCGCCTACCCAGCGATTTTCTATTTTTTTTTTCTTTTATTCGAAGTTTGTTGTATCGACAACATTATTTCTAAGTTCACTCCGTTGATTTCTTAACAAACAACAAGTTCAAAATGAAATTGTGGTTCATCATTCTAAGCATTTATTTTTACATTATAAGTCAAGCAACTATCGATGGACGTACAACTCAACTAAGAAAAGCTTATTGGTTCTATCCAAATAATGGCTACAATCCGGGTGATTTATTTCATCAAAATTTCGAACGAAAACGACAAGCTGGTAAATTTAAAAAAAATGCTGCAACTATTATTTGTTGATATCCTATACTTTTAAAATTTAGGTTGGGGTAGACGTCGTTATTTAACAGCAGAAGATGACAATGACGATATTCTACTTCGTCGTATATATGGTCCACATGACGATTCAGCTTATAATTGGTTTAATGATAAATGAACAGTATTTAACTTTGTTCATATTTTAAGATAAAACATATGCGTAAAAAAAGAGGATTTCAAATAAGATATAATAAAAAATATATATATATGTATATTTACTGTTCAATAACAACAGCAACAACAAAAACACAAAATGCTTGTGCATAATATTTATTAGAATTCAAATGCACATGTAGATTTGAGAAGAATTAGATAACATGATTAAATAGTGGAGTAAATGATGAATTTTCATACATATATATTTTTGGCTCGAAACTATATCTATTGGTTTCTGATAGCACGTTGTACAAGTTTCATTAAATACTTATTCAATGAATTGTCATAGTCTTTATAATATGGTTGTACAAAATTTGAAGATTTTTTTTTGTATACAATCAGTTTTGGTGTAGAAGATAAATCAAATTCAAAGTTATTTGAATTTTCATTATGTTTCAATGATGATTTTTTCGAACCACACATTAAAATCCATGCAGCTGTTTGTTGATACGAATGTAATTGAGAATATGGTATTTGACAATCAGTTTTAAACAAAATTGATTGTTCATCAGGTAAACTTCTTTTACCTGGATTTGGATAATTCATAAATTTTGATTGATAGTTTTTTTTAATATACCATTGAGCATTTGTTATTAATAAAATTGACATAAAGAATATAGATTGAAATATAAACATGATTTAAAAATCTGAAATAATTTTTTATTAAATTATCTAAATACAAAAACAAAACAAATATTAATAATCAAAAGAAAGTTTCGTCGTCGGTTGAACATATCATGAAATATTTTTGTTCAACAAAATAATATGTAAATAGCAACTCTTATCTATCTTCGATAGTAACTATATGTTGGAATGCAACATCTTAGCGTGACTAAGAATTGTTGCATATATTTATACGAAAAAAGAAATTATGAAAGATATGATTTCACTCGAATTGATTATTTCTTTATTATACGGAATGACGAACGACATTTCTTTCTGTATAAAAATCAGTATATGAGTGATTAAAGAGAATAAAAAAAAAGAAATTATCTGTGATGTATTATGAACAGTCATAACATTTGATTCGCTTTTGATGTAAGCAATATGTTACACTGAATTGACATACATCAAACATATTTTTTAAAATGAGTTTTATCAATTATAAAACAAAATCTACTTACTGATGTTATTAACATTGTATGGTTACTTACTCAGCGGGATACTATGTATTCAATTCAAATATAAATGAATGTCCTGTCCTTTTTTTATTCGTGTCACCCATTCTATGATAGAAATATAGAGACCTCTCGATACAGGTGAATTTTGCTATCGTACTATCATATAATTATTTCATTTATTCACAATATATATTTTAATTCATGATAAAATATAATTAGTCATAGTTCTCGGACATGCCAAAGGCTAAATAGCACATTAAAAAAAATGATTGCTTAGTATGTACTCACTAGGTGATCGAAATATATTTATTTGTACTTTCGAAAGAAACTAATTTATTGTTCAAATGTAGACCAAGTTATTATATTCTTACGCAGTTTCCTGAGTATGTAGAATCTGCATAAGTCACATTGTCTTATATATATACGTCATGTGACAAAGAATAGTTAATAGAAAACAAAAAACAGAAAGAAAAAAAATGATAAATTAAGAAAGAATTAAACAAGTCACAGAAGTTCTTCAAATCAACCTCCGCGAACAACTTATTAATAATAGATAAACTTGTCACAACAACGGCTTTGTTCTTATTGATGTATCAATAATGTGGTTTTCAATAAAACGATTGTCTTTAAGTAGACTTCTTTGTTTCATGATAAATATAGTTTTCTACTAACATTCAATATGAATTTATTCGGATGATCGATCGATTCTTTAGCTGAATTCTATTTGTATTTATAATGAGATTGTAAAATAAAAACTACTTATTAATTATAGAGACTGTTTTCTTTGAAAGTGAACTTTGAAGAAAAAAAATTCTTTTCGACATAAATCGATACAAATAATCTATAGAATCTTTCTTCTTAATCAAATATGACAACGTCAACTAATTTCAATTGAATAAAAATCATTCAATTATTTCGGAAAGCGAAGAAGTAATTTATGAAAAATACTTTGGTTGTAAAATAGAATATATGAGAAATCAGTTTATCACAATTACTAAAATAGTAAATATTTCAAACATACTTTTTGTAATTATTTCTAAATTGAATTTAGTTGAACTTTATATAGATCCTAAATCAGATGATCTCCATAGACATTATCTGTCTCCGGAAGAGATACTATTTGTAATTAAATTCTATATTGAATTATATTTTATCATCAATTGCAGTGAAATATGGAGATCATGTTTAAAAGATTTTGGTCATATGGAATTAATAAATGTTCTTTTTTCGTCTATATTATTTGCATTTCTGAAACTATTTGTAAACAAAATATACTAACTTTTAAATAGAAATACAGTTAGACAGAAAGTGGAATCATTTTAGAGATAAGTTTAAAACCGGTTTACAGTAAAAAATATATGATACTCTCTTCTACATAGCAAGAAAAGTAAACTACCTACGTAATATGCACTACTTCGCATCTTTATATTGTATTCAGCTATTTTCTATTTGAATTCCTAAAAATTCATTCAATCATTTAGTATCCGAAATACTTCTAGGGAAGAAGAAAAAAGAAACCTATTGATATAGTTATTTAACATTAATTTTGCCTTAATATTTATTTCTTCATTCGTTGAAAAATTTAATCAGAAAATACTTATGTTAAATAGATACGTAATAAAAAGATATTAAGGCAATCCCTGCAGAATTAAAAGATAAAATACTATCTAGCTGCTGTCTCCCTAATCATAGGAGATTGCTTTATTCTATCTGTCTTGAAATATATTCATTCATACTTATTCCTTCAGAAATCCAATAAGGAAATAGTTTCTATATGAGAACGAAACATTATTGATATACGGTCTGTGATCGTATATCAACCACACTTGTTAAGGTCTGGAACAGTCTCTGGTTAGTGTCTGTCATGGTCTCTGATGGTCTCTGGCTAATGTATGTCATGGTTTAGAGTAGGTGGTGGTTCAAGTTTTTACTTCTGTACTTCAACATTATTTTTAGATCGTATTTTACAAAATTAAGTGACTGTTTAAAATTTTTATAATTCAAAAACAAAATTTGACTCGTAGCTATTCTCTTTATAGAAACGGCGATCAATAGTTATTAATGGTTGACATGATCATTCGAATAATATAGACGAAACAGATTATTATGACCCTATGCATTTTCTAGGGACTTCATTTAATTAGTAGAAAAAAAATTGAATTAACTCAGATACTTCATCATGCAAATATGTTGAAGAAGCTATATAATTAAAAGAGTTCAATAAGTAGTCTGCTTTATTTATAGAAGCATTATTATGATCAATTTGTTTATAATATTCAATAACGAATATATTGTTGTTGTATCATCTTAATACATATTTACTCGTTTTCAGGTATAAAAAAAGGCGTCAAATGATGAAGTTTATCTTAAAAATTTATGAAATAAAACAATATCTTTTTACACAAGTATTATTGAAAAGAAAAAAAAGTTTGAATGTTGAATAAAATTTGTATAGATGTGCCCGTCTCTAAAATATGCAGATACTTCTTCATGTGTTTTAAAGTTCGACAATAATCAAGTTGAATCATAAATTTTTTATTTCTTAAAATCGAAGCTTCTTTTTTAGAAAATTCATATATTATTAAGCATTAAATGATAGAACTTAATGTAATATGTTATAAAATATGAAATAATTTTCATTGTCATTATAATTCATTCATTATTTAAATATAAAGTCATCTTTATGTGTGTTATTTATAAGCAATGATGTAGATTGTTACTTTAACAGAACTTAGAGCCTACATCATTTTCTGATATTATTATTTATTTATAAAGCTGTCGAAGAACGTTAGCCTCTCTGTCTCATACCAATATACTATTTGATTAAAAAAAGTCAGAACATGAAATTCATTTATTTAATAGACAGTTTGCAATAAACTTTTCGACAACAATCAATTATCTTTATGATTAAACACAGTTCAATAAAATGATTTCTTATACATTATTAGTATGATGAAACATAAAAAAGCTTGCATAACATATCTACAAAGCGAAATCAATTGTATTTAGTTTATACTACCAGTGAATTTATGATACGACTATCAATAAGAATTCATTTCATTCAATTATTTTTTGCGCGTAACATGACAGCTATCATATTTGTTACTTCATTAGCCTTATCAATCATGTACTCATTTCAATTAAGATTTTAATAACTCATACAATGATAATCACTGATATTATTGTACTTAGATTGGATGAATCGAATTTTAATTTGCTGTGCAATTCTGAGTTTGCATCGGTATGCTCTTCGCCGAAATTCAATAATTTCTGTTTTAGTGATCTTCATTTCGATGACCAAAGCAATCAGCGATATTCTGAGTTGATATCTATAGTATTAGAAATGTTCTAGTATTCTGTGTGTTGATAGTAATTATATCTAGTAATTATAGTGATGTATTAAGTTAATAACTAACTTAAGGGTATACTCTCCCTCTTTCTTGACTAAAACATCGATTTCAATCTGGTCCTAAGGTATGATAGCCTCAAGTGTCATGTGTAATTAGAGATATCGTTCGACTCTGAACAGCTTATTGTTACAGAGTTATTAAATTAAAGACATTTTTTCATAATAATCATATTGAAATATCTTTTCTTTTACTTAATGTAACGCAAATACATGAGTCTTCTAAATTCTAACTGCTTAAGAACTTCTAACTTTGTCAGATAATACTGAAATTTTTACCGCAGATACTTGGAAGTATCCTTCAGAGATAATAATCAGCCTTTTTCGTCTTTGAATTTCCTATCCGAATTTATAGTGTTCTGAACTTCAACCCTCTGGTGGTAGCTCCGAACTTTTGCCTATTTGCTTCATAAGAAAACGAAAACTAGATTTTCCAGAAACTCTCAAAAATACTTCTGAGATATAGTCTGTGAAATCTGTGAAAACATTTTCAGCCGGATTGAATAAGGTGTGATATAGTCATATTGCACCAGAATACAGCCCTCTAGAAAACCAAGGTTTTCTTAAAAATCATCTTGAAAATTTTTCCCTCGAATACGTATCTCCTTATTTCAGGCGCTCTACTTATTATAAAAGTTTCACTCTAATCGATTGCACCCTCTTCAAGAATCAGAAATAGCCAGAAAAGAGGGCGGAGGTACCCATAAGTAGATAAATAAGTTAGTGCTTAAATTAGTAACTAAGAAAAAACCAGGCTATAATTCATGATACATACATCATAGTTGAATTTATATGGTAAATATTTCTAAAGAATGAACATAAAGAATTATAGTCGAAAGGAATTCAGCGATCTTCATTACAATGAACTTCATATAAATAATCTCTGTCGTTGATGTTTATCTCGCGAAGAGATATATAACACTTAGTTTTTGATTAGATATTTATCTTCCTAGAGATAAAGTATTGTGAAATTTCGATGTTTAGAAAGAAGAAAGATTGATTCTTGATTATATACAATTTCTATGTTTTTTGTATTATTTGATCTTGCTATGAGTAGTATCTTTAGTGGAAAATAGACAAATTGTTCGAAATTGATTTACTAATGAAAT